ATAAGAAGAAGAAGACGAATCATAATAATAATGCGAATAATAATATTAATAAAAATATTAATAATACTAATAATATTAATGATGATGATAATAATACTAATAATACTGATAATAACAATGCTAGTAGTACTAATAATACTAATAATAAGAATAAGAAGAATAATGATACTAAGAAGAAGAATAATAATAATAATAATCATAATAATAAGAAGAATAAGAATAATAAGCATAATAAGAATAATACTAAGAAGACGAATAAGAAAAATAAGAAGAATACGAAGACGAAGGAGAAGAAGAGGAGTATGAGGAGGAGGAGGAGGAGGAGGAGGAGGAGGAGGAGGAGGAGGAGGAGGAGGAGGAGGAGGAGGAGGAGGGGGGAATCCTCGGAGCCTCTGAGGGCACTCTTGGGGCCTCCTGGGAGCCTCCTGGGAGTTTCCTGGGAGCCTTTTGGAGGCATCTCGGGGGCCTCCTTGGGCCCCGGGAGGCTTTTCAGGGGCCTCTTTGGCCGTCTCAAGGCATTCCTGGCCCGTCTGACGCCGTCGGAAGCTGTCTTGGGGGCCTCTCTGGGCCGACTTGTGAAACCTTCTTCGGGTGTTCCAGGGCCGTCTTGGAGGCCATCCTGCGCGTCTTGGAAGCCTGTTGGGCCGTCTGGGGGACCTCTTGGGGCTGTCTTGGGGGCCTCTTGGGCCGTTCTGGGGTATTTTTGGAGGCCTTTTGGGCGATCCTTCGGGGCTCTTGGGTCGTCTCGGACCGAAAAGAAGCACATGCCCAAATCCTCCAATAACATCAGGAACAACAGTGATTTCTACCTTTTCGGGCCTTCCTGGAGGCCCTCTTGGAGGCCTCTTGGGCCGTCTTGGAGACCTCTTAGGAGCTTCTTGGGCCATCTTAGAGCCATTTTGGGCCGTCTTGGTGGCCTGACACCGTCGGAAGCTGTCTTGGAGACCTCTCTGCGTCTTGGAGGCCATCCTGCGCGTCTTGGAGGCCTGTTAGGCCGTCTGGGGGCTTCCCTGGGGCTGTCTTGGGGGCCTCCTGGGCCGTTCTGAGGGCATCTTGGAGGCCTCTTGGGCGATCTTTGGGCGATCTTTGGGCGATCTTTGGGAGCGCTTGGGCCGCCTCGGGCCGTCGGAAGACCGAAAAGAAGCAACTGCCAAACTCTGTCAAAGATTACATGCAAATCGATCATTTTGGCCTCTTCGGGTCGTTTTGGAGGTCCTCTTGGAGGCCTCTTGGGCCGTCTTGGAGGGCCGCGAGCTTGAAAGCCATCTTGGGCCAACGTGACCATCTTAGAGGCCATCTTGAGCTGTCTCATTGGATTTGTTGCGGACGTTGAAGTCGTTTGTGGGCCCTTTCGGCGGCTTTCCGCGGGGCTGGCGCGCTGGGCCAAATCCCCAGGGGGAGCTCTTTTGGAAAATCACCAAGACCCAAACCGGTAGGATCTAGCAGGCCAGGCACCCCTATGATGAATCGACAGGGGGCGGCGGATCGAAGACGCCTACGGCGAATCACTGCCGCCCCCTGCCTTTTTGGAAACGCCGATGTGGCCGAAAGTTGGACTAGAGCTTGGCCAAGCTATCGGACCATGAGTTCCCCGAGTCGGTTTGGAAAGCTTTCGGGGAACACATGGGAGAGAATGATTATGAACAGGAAGAGGAAGAGGAAGAAATAGAGTAGGAGGATGAGGGTTGTTAGGAGTCTCTTGGGGCACCCTTGGGGTCTGTTGGGGGCTTCTTGGGGGCCTCTTCGAGGCCTCTTGGAGGCATCTTGGGGGCCTCCTTGGGCCTCTTGGGGGCCTTTGGGGGCTTCCTGGGGGTCTCTTTGGCCGTCTTAGGGCGTTCCTGGTCCGTCTGACGCCGTCTGGAGCCGTCTTGGGGGCCTCTCTGGGCCGTCTTGGGGCCCTCTTGGGGCGCTTCAGGGCCGTCTTGGAGGCCATGTTGGGCGTCTTGGAGGCCTCTTGGGCCGTCTTGGGGCGCTCTTGGGGCCGTCTTGGGGGGCCCTTGGGCCGTCATAGGGCCTTCTTGGAGGCCTCTTGGGCGATCTTGGGGGCCTCTTGGGCCGTCGGAAGGCCGAAAAGAAGAAAACGCAAAAAACCTTCAAAAACCTAAGGAAAACAATGATTTTGGCCTCTTCGGGCTCTCCTGGAGAACGTCTTGGAGGCCTCTTGGGCCATCTTGGAGGCATCTTGGGGCCATCTTGGCCGTCTTGGAGGGCATCTTGGGCCGTCTTGGAGGCATCTTGGAGCCATCTTACCCGTCTTGGAGGCCATCTTGGCCGTCTGGGAGGCATCTTGGAGGCCATCTTGGGCCATCTTGGCCGTCTTGGAGGCCATCTTGGGCCAAGTTGGGGCAACAAAGGCATTGACAGACGGATTTTGGGAAAATTACGGGTGGCCGGCGGGACGGGCCGAAGCCCATTGGGGAGTTCTTTTAGAAAAAGAACCAAAACCAAAACCTGAAACGTCCAGCACGCCGTGCACCCCTGTGGCAAGACCACAGGGGGCGGCGGATCGAAGACGCCTACGGCGAATCACCGCCGCCCCCTGCCTTTGTGGAAGCGCCTATGTGGCCGAACGTTGAGGCCAGACCTGCCAAGCCATCGGACCATGTGTTCCCCGAATCGGTTTGGAAAGCCTTCGGGGAACACGTGGGCGTCTTGATGGTCATCGTCGCCGTCTTGGAGGCCTCTTGGGCGATCTTTCGGCGATCTTTGGGGGCTCTTGGGCCGTGTCGGGCCGTCGGAAGGCCGAAAAAAGGGAAATGCCCAAATCCATCAAAAACCTTGGGAAAATCAGTGATTTTGGCATCTTTTGGCCTTCCTGGAGGCCCTCTTGGGGGCCTCTTGGGCCCTTTTGGGCCAGCTTCGAGCCAACTTCGGCCATCTTGGTGGGTTCCTGGCACGTCTGACGCCGTCGGGAGCCGTTTTGGGGGCCTTTCTGGGCCAACGGGGGACCCTCTTGGGGCGCTCCAGGGCCGTCTTGGAGGCCATCTTGGGCGTCTTGGAGGCCATCTTGGGCGTGTTGGAGGCCTCTTGGGCCGTCTTGGGGCCCTCTAGGGGCCATCTTGGAGGCCACTTGGGCCATCAGGGGGCTCTCTTGGGGGCCTCTTGGGCGATCTTGGGGGCTTCTTGGGCCGTCTTGAGCCGTCGGAGAGCCGAAAAGGCGCAAATGCCAAAATCCTTCAAAAACCAAGGGAAAATCAATGATTTTGCCCTCTTCGGACTCTCCTGGAGGACCTCTTGGAGGCCTCTTGGGCCGTCTGGGAGGCCTCTGGGGGGCCTCTTGGGCCGTCTTGGGCCGTCTTGGACTCTCTTGGGCCGTTTTGGAGGCCGTCTTGGACCATCTCGGGCGGACTTGGAGGCCATCTTGGGCCATCTTCGCGATTTTTTGAGGATGTCCCGAGCGAAACGGCCGTTTTTGGGCACGGTGGCGGGACGGGCCGGAGCCCACTGGGGAGTTCTGTTGGAAAAAGAACCAAAACCAAAACCTGAAACGTCCAGCACGCCGTGCACCCCTGCAAGCAGGGGGCGGCGGATCTAGTGATGTTCGGCCCATTCCGCCACCGTGCTTGGGTTGTGGGCCATAGGTCTCAAGGCTGTTCATTGGGATGTTTGCCTCTTGGGGGCCCTCTCGGGAGGCCTCTCGGAGGCCTCTTGGGGGCCTCCTGGGGGCTTCCTGGGGCCGCGGGCTCGACGTGTCCGTTGGCGGACCCTGTTTGGGCCCCATCGGGAACAGCTTTGGGGGCCTCATTGGGCCGTCCTACAGGCCTTTTGGGCCGTCTTGGGGCCCTCCTGGGCTGTCCTGGGGCCCTCTTGGGGCCTCTCGGGCCGCCTTGAGGTGATATTCGGGGCCTCTTGGGCCGCCTTCGAGCGTCGGGAAACCGAAAACGCAAGTACCCCGAAGACCTTCAAAAAACAATGGAAAAGCTATGATGGTTGCCTCTTGCGGCCCTCTTGTGAGGCCTCTTGGGGCGTCTTGGATGCCTTTTGGGCCGCCTGGGGGTCATCTTGGGCCGTCTGGAAGCGCTCCTTGACCGTCTTGAGCGCTCGGTGGGAAGCTCCGCGAATGTCTGCGGGTCGCTTGGGGCGCTGCAGCCGTCCCGGAGGTCATGCGAAAAGCCCCGGGAGCCCCGTGAAATTGGAGAACTTGGCCCTTCAGAAACTGCAATGCTCATTGCAGCAGCAGCTCAGCCGTGAGCACAATCCTGGCTGCAGCAGCAGCACAGCTGTGAGCCGTGGGGCACTCCACTTCGTGCCAGGGGCACGGTGGCGGATCGCGCGGAGGCGGGAGCGCGCAGGCGGGAGCACCCCTTTCACATAAGTATGCGCGGCGCTGGGGCGAGAGCAGCGCGCTCTTTCGCGCACGATGTGCTCGGCGTCCCACTCCCGCCGCGTATCTTGAAACGCCGACGACAGAACGAGGAAAAACGTTGACTTCGTCTTGCATTTGACTGGTCGGATGGAAGGGTCCAGAAACGGAGGGCTATCGGCCGGGCTATTCGGCATCAGAGTGGAGGTAATCGTAATACGAATGATCATGAGACGGGGAAAAAAGGGTAGAGAGAGGTGGAGGGGGTTACAGGAGACGAGGTCGTGTCAGTCCTCTCGCACTCACGCGAGAGGAGGAGGAGGAGGAGGAGGAGGAGGAGGAGGAGGAGGAGGAGGAGGAGGAGGAGGAGGAGGAGGAGGAGGAGGAGGAGGAGGAGGAGGAGGAGGAGGAGGAGGAGGAGGAGGAGGAGGAGGAGGAGGAGGAGGAGGAGGAGGAGGAGGAGGAGGAGGAGGAGGAGGAGGAGGAGGAGGAGGAGGAGGAGGAGGAGAGGAGGAGGAGGAGGAGGAGGAGGAGGAGGAGGAGGAGGAGGAGGAGGAGGAGGAGGAGGAGGAGGAGGAGGAGGAGGAGGAAGGAGGAGGAGGAGGAGGAGAGGAGGAGGAGGAGGAGGAGGAGGAGGAGGAGGAGGGACCGAGGTTCGAGGGTCGATGTTTTTGGACGGTCCCTCCTTCCGGCGGCAGGCTCGACCTGCGCAGCATGCAGTGGACGAGCCCGAGCTGTGCTGGAGAGCCGCCGTCGGCCAGGTGGTGCCGGCCAGGGGGGGCGGCCGGGACGAGGGCACGGGGGAGGCCTGGGGGAGCGATGGGGGGGGGGTATGTTCGAGGACGTGCAGGAGGGGGTGGGGACATGGATTTCGAGCAGGGGACCGACCACAGAACCGATTTACCCCGAAAGTGATGTTCCCACCGAGCTTGCGAAACATACGTAACATTCTCCGTGAATCTACGGCACATTCCACGCATCCTTCGCAGACTTGACGAAAGCATTCATTGTGGGGTAAGTCGATGCTGTAGTCGATCCCCTACTCGAGGATTGGTGGTGTGCGGATCTCATGGCTGGGGCCGTGAAATGTCTCGGATCCCATGGCCCCCTCTCCTTCTACACGCTCCCTGGCCCCTCGTCCATGCAAGCTCCTCGGGCCGTGATGCGATAACTCTCCTCTTCCTGGCCCCCCTCGTCGGCGGACCTCAGATATGGAGGGAGGTTGTGCAGAGACTGGAGACGAGAGGACGAGGGCGGGCACCCCGCCCCCGCTCGCATGAGGTGCTTTGGTTCCTGTGAAATGAATGCAGGGTGGTTGCTCGAAGCTCTCCCGAAACCGGCTGACAACCATGATCCGCAGATCCCCACAGACGCCCATGACCCCGGAGATCTCACACTGGGAAATGGGTTTCGGTTTCGTGTTCGTGCCGTGCGCGCGGGAAGGGCGAGGATGCATGCGCGGACGGCGAAGTCAGAGCCAATATTCTCCTCCCATCCAGTTGGCGGATTGGGCCCGCAGTTGTCCCGCGGTTGTCCCGTGATTGTCCGTCGTTGTCCCGCGGTTGTCTTGTGCTTGCCCCGTGGTTGTTCCGATGGTTGTCCAAATGGGTTTCGGCAAACACATTACTCATATACGGGCTGGTTATCCCAGTGGCTGCCCTGATGAACCTAGTGAGATCGACCGACCGATAGAGAGATCGACAGATCGATTGAGGTCGATAGAGAAATCAATAGTAAGGTTGATGGTGAGATCGATAGAACGTGGGATCGACAGACGGAACGTGAGGTCGATAGACGGATCGGTGTATCGGTACATACATACATAGTCAACAGCCATATGTGTACCCATCTCCTGGGCCACAAGAGGGCCCCAAGATGGCTCCAAGAGGGCCCGACCTTTTACACAGCTCCAGCAGCAGCACCACGGTCAGCCCAGGCAGCAACAACAGCGTCAACGCCAGCAGCAGCAACATCTGTAGCAACAACGACGGGAGAGGCAGCGGGAAGATTATTCCAAGATGTATCCAAACATGTTTCGAAGGGGTCACAAGATTACTCCTGTCGCCCAAAGATGCCCAGCCCTGCTAAGCAATGGCCCCAATATGACCCCAGAGCGACCCTGCGGCCCCAAGAGAACACCGAGATGAACCAATTGTCTTCCGACTGAAATAAGGCTACCGCGTGACCCCGATTTTATTTTGAGGTGGCCCCAGGACGACCCCATGAGTCCGAGACGACTTCGAGATTGCCCCAAGATGACCCCTATAATCCCTAGTTTTCCCCAAGATGGTGTCAATATGGCTCCACTGTGGCTCCGATGCGTTTCTTCCTTCTCCCCTTGCTCTTGGCTTGGGACGATAGGACGGATGGGGTTGCTGGCCCTCCACCCCCTTGTCGTCGTCTTGATTCTCCTCCGCCTCGTCCTCGTCGCCCTCGCCGTCGTCGTCGTCGCTGTCCGCCTGGCCCACTTGGCCCCAAACATCGCAGAAAACCGAAACCCCAGCACAAACCGAGTCCACCCATTTTCTGATTTTCGAAAACCGAAAGGAAATAACATATGTGTGCTTCTTGAGGCCCTCTTGGGACGCCCCTTGAAACGCGTTTGGGGCGTCTTCGGGGCTTCTTGGGCCGCGTTGAGGCCATCTTGGGCTCGCTGGGGCATTCCTGTGCCTTCTCGGAGGCATCTGCGGCCGTTTTGGCTGTTTTGTTGGCCCATGTTTTGCTGGCTCCGCTGCCGGAGAACGTGCACGACGCGCCCGGAGAATTCCCAGGAATCCCAGGAGTCCCCAGAAATCCTTCTGCACCTGGTGGCCCGGGCCCATAACAAGTTTAAACTTTGCAACTCTGACTTTCTCGGGGCTACATGAGCCTTGGGGCAATCCATTGCGCGCTGCAGGCACGGTGGCGGATCGTTCACCTGGCAGAGTGGAAAGGCCTGGACAAGGCCAATGAAGGGGGCCGTGGTAGCAGAGACATGTGGGACGACGCGAGCGGTTGGTGGACCAGCGGCGACAGAGGCGGAAACGCCGGTCGGCCGACAATCGGCGGCAGAACCGCATTGATCGCGACGATGGAACGTGGGCCCTCACACAGAAGCTGGTGGGATGATGACTCATGGCATGCGAGTTGGAGCCGAGGCTGGGGTTGCAGCTCACGGCTGACGAGGTCGGAGCGTGACCTTGGGGAGGCGGGGAGGCCGGGGCCGCCCGCGGGCTTGTGTCTCAAGCGAGAGGCGGGGCTGCGTCGAGCGACCGTGCCATCACCTCTGCGGCGGGAGTAGGTGCCATTCGCACGGGTGGCCCAAGACAGTCTTCTTCGGGGCTGGCGCCCCCTTGGCGAGGTGCCCCGAAGGCTGCCGCGCGCGGGTGGAGCTGCTCCCGCGCCCGCCGCCGGGGAGTCGTCGCCTTCGCTCTCTCCGCGTCTCGTTGGGGCCTGCGTGCGCGTGCCGCCGCACGCGTCTGGCCCAAGGCAAATGTGAGGGCAGAGCGCAGCCGGCGTCTGGGCGGAGAAGCGTGCGCGCGGCTCCTCGCCGTCGCGCGCGTGACATTAAGTCGGATTTTTATTATTTGACATTTTTTATATATATAGATATATTATATATATATATATATATATATATATATTATGAAAATCCCCCTGTAGGGGGACAGGCCAGAATTAAGCGTAACAGGATCCACGCTCTCATCTATTCAACGGAGTAGTGCAGTTATGTCGGACGGCATCGTTAAACACTCACCCATTTAGGAGGTCCGTCTGGTGGGATCCCCTGGGTTAGGATATCAGGGCAAGGGGTATACGTGTTCGCCGGGGAATGTCGATCATCCGACGAAAGACATGGAGCCCATTGCCATTGGGCTACCCACAAGCCAGCAGCTTTCAAATAGAGGGTCTTGGAGGAGTGACGTCACACAGCATGAGCGTAAACCATCAAAGGTTCGCGGGATCTATTGGCTGGGCAGTGGACCGCTTAGCGTGCTCGGGTATGCTTACGCAGTTCCCTCTCCCAGCCGGCGGCGAGCGAGCGGGGGGAAGACAAGAAGGGGCGGGCCTTCTGACGAGGCTTCCGAGGCCCTCCGGCCTCCTGAGAGGTTTCCTCAGCGGCCCCCGAAAGGACACGGACAGCTGCTGAGCAGGCGCGAGGGCCTCTGAGCAGTCCCGCCGCCTTCCGAGAAGGCCTTTCCCTTCTCCCTTCCTCCCCGCCCGCTCGCCGCCGACAAGGCTTTCGAGGTCCTCCGGCCTCCTGAGAGGTTTGCTCCGCGGCCCCCGACAGGACGCGGACCGCTGCTTGAGCAGGCGCGAGGGCCTCCGAGCAGCCCACCGCCGCCTTCTGAGAAGGCCTTTCTCCCTTCACTCCCTTCCCCCCCCCGCCCGCTCGCTCCGCCGACCCGGGGCCGCCCCCTCGCCCCGCCCCCCCCCCGTGCGGCCCCTGGCTCAGGGGGGAAAAAAATCACGCACAGACACACAATTAATCCTCGACCCCCCAGGAAAATAGGGGAAACTCTGGGAAGTGGGGGGAAGCCAAAAACCCAGGAAGTATGGGAAAGCATGGGGAATCCTGTTATTTGTGCGCATTTCCTCGTGTGTCCCAGGGCCCCCCTTCACTGGCGGGGGCCCGCCGTGGCACCGGCCGGGGCCGGCGGACGAGGTTTGCGCACAAGATGATCCACGGCGGCGACAACACGCTGCTGCTCTTCGGCGGGAGCAGCTCCGCCGCGGAGTCCGAGGCGGCGGTCCCTCTCTCGGGGGCCCAAGGGATGGACGCCACCACCACGTCGCTTCCTCCTCTCTCCTCTCGCCTTTCCAGCGAGAGGGAGGCAGGGCGGGAGGGAGGTGGCGGTGTACATTTTTCGGCCCCCATCTCTCTGGCTCGTGCTCCCGTTTTCTCAGGGTCGTCGTCGTGGTCGGCGTCGTGGTCCTCCCCGTCCCCCCTCACAGTTCCCGGGCTCCTGCTCCGACCAGGACAGGCCAGCCACAACTGGGGGAGCTGTGGTCCTTACCCCCCCTGGGGGACCCATCGATTTCGACACCCCTCTCGAGAGATCGTCGGTGCGCTGGGCTCCCCCAGGGGGGTAAGGACCACAGCTCCCCCAGTCCCCCAGTTGTGGCTGGTCGGTAGTGCCCCTTCTCCTGCTGGTCCTCCTCCCCATCCCCTGTGTTCCTCCCTCCCCGCCTCCTCTTTCCATCGCCCCAACAGGAGGCGGAGAGAGGGGCTGGGGGCCGCGGGGGGAATCGCGAAATCACCACAACGCCATGGCTACCAGAGGGGTGCCGCAGATTCAACGGCAGCTTAGGAGGCCCATTGCGTGGCGTGGGCAACCGTGACAGTGCAAGGAACACGCGGCCCCACACAGCAGCTTCAAACGGCTGAGGCCCGACAAAGGAAACAGGGACGTCCTGGCGTGTCATGGCCTGTCGACCGCCTTCCTCCCGTGGGTCAGCGCATTGGGCCATAGGACCACTGCGGAGCCGGAGAGCGAGGTGTGGGGGGGGGGGGGGCGTCTCGTAAGACGTCGTGTCCGGTGCTTGAGCTGTTCACCCCGTGTTCCTCTTCCCCCGCCCCTCTCTCCTACTTCTCTACTTCCCCCCCTCCCTCCTCCCTCCCCGCCCCCCCCCTTTCCCTGCCTCCGCGCTCCCTCCCTTCATCCCCTCGTCCCGCCTCTCGCAGCGAGGGGGGGAGGCTGGAGTCCGTCTCTCCTGTACCTCTCTTCCGCTCCCCCCTCCTCCGCCCGTCCCTTTCCTTTCCTTCCTCCCGCTCCTACCCTCCGCTCCGAGAGTGCCCATCTGGTGCTGCGTGCGGGGCGGGGCCGCTCGGCGGGCGACAGGCCAGGGGGGGAACCGCCAGGCGACGCCCGGCGTGCTGTATTCCTTCGAGCTCTCGACGTCGACGTGGTCGACCACCCAGGCCGACTCGGTCGAGGGAGCAGGGGAGTGGAGCAGGAGCGGGCGGACCAAGGTGGAGCACGGCGGCAGGCGGAGAACAGGAGCGGTGGGCGAAAGGTGCGGACTGCTCTGGGCCTCTGGAGGCTTCCGGAGGCCTCCAGGGACCTGCAGGGGCCTCCAGGGACCTCGGGAGACCTCCAGAGAAGAGTGGACAGGAGAACCCCCAGAGGTCTCCAGGGACCTCCAGAGGTCCCCAGGGACCTCCGGAGACGTCTGGGGTCCCCTGGGGACCTCCAGAGAAGAGTGGACAGGAGGACCGTGTGGTTTTGGAATGCTTCCCACCCGACTGGTGTGGGATGACAGATTTACAGGGAGAAGAGCTCTGAAATGCCTCGCACACCCTGCTTAATTACCGTGGCCGCCAGGCCCCAAGGATCTCGGTGATCCTTGGGGATCCCCCCCCGCGTCTTCGACGAACGACGAATTGCAATCCAACGCCCCTCGGATATTGGGATTCGTTGATTCGTTGAGCAACTGTCTAGGCGGGAGTGGCGGGGGTACGGAGGGCAGGGGTTTTGCACAGTTGTCGGAGCAGCTCGCGAGTTCGGCATGGGTCGGGCTTGTCGTGCCTCGAAGGAGGCGCGCACACCCTCTGCGCGTGCATCGTCTCGGCGCTGGACGCGCCATGGCCGTGCCTTGCCAGCCAGCTTCGGCCGAAGCGCCGCGCGCGCTGGCCAGGGCGCTGCCCCTCGCGCTCGGCGTGCTGGGGGGCAGCTTGCCCACCGGGCTGGGCTGGCAGCCGGTGCCGCGGGCGGGTCGCCCGCCGTCCTGCCCCCCTTGTGTGCCGTGGCTGCGCGCCCGGCCCTGCCTGCCCGGGCACGCCCGAGCCGGCGCCGGCTGGGCGGGTGGGCGCCGAGCCCCGGGGCGAACGGCCGGCGCTGCCCATGGGCATGCCAGCCACAATTGGGGGAGCTGTGGTCCTTGGGGGACCCATCGATTTCGACACCCCTCTCGAGGGATCGTCGATGCGATGGGTTCTCCAGAGGGGGTAGGACCACAGCTCCCCCAGTTATGGCTGGTCGGCTGGGGCGGCCTCGTCCCGACGGCGGCCGCCAGCGCGGCTGCAGGCTGGTCGTTGGCCCAGCGACGGGCAACGGCGAGCACGCAGGGGCTGCCGACGGCGGGAGATGGCGGCTTCGCCAGGGCGGTGGCATCATTGGCGATTGGGGGCGTGGCGGTGACCTCGACAGACGGCGACGCGTACGTGTAGGACGCGCGGCCCGAGACCGGCGACGTCCTGCTGCTCAGGGAGGTGCCAGGGCGGTGGCCGCCGCCAGCTGGGATCTCGCGGGCCCAGTGCTCGGTTCCGAGAATAACCGGCGCTGGCCCAGCGGGAGCAGTGGGCAGTCGAGGCGGAGGCCGTGGCCCGCGCCTACTAGGCGGCGCAGGCGGCTGCCCGCGGCCCCTGCGCTCCTGCCAATGCCAGCGGCGGGGGACTGGGCAGTCGTGGCGGTTGCTGCGCCAGTGCTGCGACCGATCGTCGCCGCGGCGGCTGGGGCTTGGGCGGCCGGCGCGGCCCCTGCAGCTGGTGCGCCCGCTGGCGCCGTGCCCGCGGCTGGAGGCGGGGGCGGCGTCAGCTGGGTCAGCTGCGAATGCCGGCCGCCCAGGCGTCGTCGAGCGGGCGACGCCGTTCAACGGCGCCGAGCTGCTGCGTGGCGAGCGGGGGCGACTGGCTCGCCACCGCGTTCGCGGCGGCCGGTAAGCTCCGGGAGTTCAAAGTAGGAGGAGTCGGCTTGCAGGGGGGGGCGGGCGCGGGGGGGGCGCCAACGATCGCGCCGATTCCATCGCGGCCCGCTGCCCCTTCCCGGGGCTCTCAGGAATCCTCCGGGCCCAGTCGGCCTCGCAGTCGGCGCCGGCGTCGCGTCGCTCGCGAGCGCCCGCCGGCGGGCGGGCCGACCTTGTTGCGCGCGTTCGGCGCGAGAGACCCGCGCGGGCCTCGCGCTGTGCCCGCGCCCCAGGGCGACGCCCCAGGCCACTGTAGCCTCCCGCGCTGACGCGATGGCCTCGCGCGCGGCGCAGGAGCGGGCGCCGCCGACCGTTCGGTTCGGTTCCGCGCACTTCTCATGCGAGAACGCAAAGCCCCCATGCTGCGCGCGCTTTGCGCGCTGAGCAATGCGATGCAGTTGCGACGGCCGCGCGTTCAATTGGAAACCGCAACGCAAGTTTCCATTCCCGCGCGCGGGGCGGGGCATGAACTTACAGATGCGCCGGCGGTCGAGAACTCGCGCGCGCGCCCGCGCATGCCATGTTGGGCGCGCGCACTGGGCCCGGAAATCTGCGGCTCGGCCGCCCGATGCGCCCCAGGAATCGCTCCGCCTCCCCCCCCGCCCACCTCCCCCTCAAAACTCTTCCGCGCTCCTGGAAAAACCACGCCGCCGAGGCGGGGGCTCGGGCCGCGGCCTGATGGTCCCCGGGGCACAGGGGAATCAAAGGAATCAGTGCGGAATCAGTACAGAATCAAAACAGAATCGGCACAACTGCGACCCCTGATTCTAGCGGAATCAAAAGAATCAGCACGGAATCGGTACGGAATCAAAGGAGGAATCGGCGATAGAACCAGAATCGGCCAGAATGGGGAAGTAGGCCAGCATCGGTGCCAGAACCCATGGAGAGAGGCCTTCTTCCCGCGAGTTCATTGCGGCGGGTCCGCGGCGCGGGCGCGCCGCGCGACTTCGCTGGTTCAGCGAGGCGCGCAGTCGGCGTTCAGAGTGAACAAGTTGTTTTCATGGCGATATCCTGGCGGCGCGCTGGCGCATTGCGCATTTGCGTATTCCTGGCGGGCTTTTTGAGGGCGACCCGGCAGCATCGGCCGAATGGCCCGCAAATACCGCGCGGCCGATGGCGCGCCCCGCGCGGCCACGTCGACCGCCGTGTGCCGCGACGGCCGCGCGCCCCGGACCGCGCCATTACCGCGTTGGATTGGACGGCGCAGCGCCCGTCCTCCAAAAGTCGTTACATGCATATCGCGCGCGTCGAGCCAGCAGCAATCGCTCCCAAAAGCAGCCTTGACAGGCGCCCCATGCCCGTTGTCGCCCGGTTCCGATCCAAATCATAGTTTCTTAGGATGCGCTTGCGCGAATGTGAGCGCGCGGGCAAGTAGCGCGTGCGCGCTTGGCGCAGCCTGGGAAATCCAACATGGAGCCCCCCGGGGGCGCGGGGCGCCGGCGACGCCTCCGCCCGCCTCCCGCGCGCCCGACCCCCCCCGCAAGCCGACTCCTCCTAGGTCAAAGATCTGGGGGCTGACGGCGACGCCCGACTGCTCGCAATCCAGGCGACAAAGCCAGTGGTGCGCGCGCCGGCTTTGGCGCGAGGGCGTCGCGTTGCTGCAGAAGGAGGCGTTCCCCAACTTCCTCGCCTGGACCGAGGACTACGCGGCGCCGCGCGGAGTCCAGGGGGGCCCGAGAGCACCGCGAGCTGCGGGCGAGCGCGCAGAGGGTCTACCCAGACATGCGGGTGGCGCAGGAGCATGAGACCATGTCGTGCCGGCGTTGGAGCTGATGATCGGCCGCGACGGCCTGGGCATCGCTGGCGTCGCGGCCGCGGAGTTCCTCCTTCGCAAGGCCCCCTTGATCGAGCAGTCGCATTCGGAAGTTGGCCCGGGCGCAGCGGCGCCGCCTGGCGAGGGCAGCCGCGAAGGGAAAGTGCGCGTCAGCAGCGGCAGCGGTCGCGCTGGCGCGTGCGACGAGCCAGATCATCATGGCATGTCACAAGGAGTTCGGTGACATCCTCCGCGATCCGCAGCTCCTCGACTACGCGGCGGAGGGGGGGGGGGGCGGCGCGACGCGCAGGTGATCAAGCGTGTCCGAAAGGCGCGCGAGGAGCAGGACCTCGCGCGCAAGTGAATCGGCGCGGCGGCAGCGCCAGGGGTCGTCGCTGATGCGAAGAGGGAGGCAGCGCGCGTTGATGGCTGGGGCGCCGGCAGTTTTGGTGGGCAGCCCGAGAAGGGGTGGAGCTTGCCAGACGACAGCCGGCAGCGCGACTCGCTGCCGCCCCCGCGTCTGCCGGGGGGGCGCTGACGGACGGATTTTTTGCTTTGCGCGTTGGAGCTCGACCGCCCCGCGCCGCGCGTCGACGCGCGGAGAGGCATGGCCACCATGTGGACTAGACCTACCTCGTGATCGACGTGCTGAACGACATGGCGGGCGGGCTGTCGCCGGTTGGCGACGGGGCGGGCGGTCCGACGGCCGGCCGGGCGCGGCGCCCAGAGCGCCCGAAGGCAGCCGCGCGCGCGGCGGGGCTGGCCCCCGACGGCGCGCGCGGCGAGGGGGCCTCGAGGGCGCAGCGGGGGGCCCGCCGCCCTCGCGCCCCTCGAGGTCGGCTTGCCCCCCCGCGCTTCCTCAAGGGCATCCGCCGCGTGGCCTCGCAGAGGCGGCGGGGGGCGCGGGCGCGCGGGTTGCCGGAGCGCTCGCGAGTGAGATCCCGCCTGAAGATGCGGCGGGGGGGGGGGGAGGGGGGCGAGATGAGAGTGGTCTGAAGTGAGCGCGCAGCGATCCCCTGCTGCGAGATCGTCGGTGCCACGCCCGCCTGGCAAGATGTCTCGCTAGGAAGAGACCCATGGAGTTCCGGAAGAGGTGCGCGGAGACGGTCGGGCTCTTCTCGGCATGGGAGGAGAGCGGCGAGGCCGGGCCCATCGCGGGCCGCAGACTGTCGAACGCTCGCTTCGGGGAGCCTGGCGACGTGCACCTGGCGAGCGGGGCCTCCATGGGGGCGGGGCCATCGAGATCGACGCTGGAGCGCCAGTCTCGCTGGGGCAGGCGGAGATTACGGGCGCCTGCTACGCGTTGGCCTTGCCGCCAGAGCTCGCCAAGTTCTCCCGCGTTGAGAGATTCGCTGCTGGCGACGCTGGCGCGTCGGAGTGCGAGGGGGCCGTGGCCGCTCCGGACGACGTGGTGGCGCCCTGTTTCGAGGTCGCCCCGAAGGAGCGGTCGGTGGCGCCAGGGGTGTGCCGGGTGGTCCACGACT